TGAGCAGCGCAGTCCACAACCGTGAGTGTCCAGCTCCAGGTGAGGATAGTCTTTTGCTGAAAGCATGTAAGACTACAGGGGAAACACAGCTTTGGGGGGATTGCTCCACACTAGACTCTGAAGCCAGAGTCTCTTTTTTTTTCAGTTAAATTCCCACCTGAATGTTCTCTGTGGTAACCACAAACAGATGTGTTGTTTTGCCAGACTGTCGGAAAGCAAGGCCAGTAACCGGGAAACTGCCTTCATGGAGGATCTGGGTCTTACTATGCCGGTCTCGGGTGATGTCTCCTTTTGTGAGTACCACGCTCCCATCCGCAAAACCTGGTGAAGGGGACAGACTAAACCGTTACATGGCACGACTGAAATACTATCCAGCCTGAGTTAGGGCAGCTCCATTCAGCAACAACACGCTGCTCACCGGCAAGGTATTAAGTTTCACTTGCTTATTTGAAACATACTGTACATTGTAACAAGACTAGAGGAAGATTTCCTCAGAGCCAGTAAACCAGCCTGCTGACAGCCCCGGTCCTTTTACAAAGGAACAATTAAAACCAAGAGGGAAATGTTCCTTTTCTCATTTAAACAAAAGTTTCTGTACAGGGCTTGGGGTATCACAAAACCTGTGGTTGCTTCTTCCTGTACTACAACAAAAGCTACATTTAGTGTAAGTTCAATAAACGTGTTACCTTAATGAATGGCACAGAAGGATGGCATGAACTGAAAATACGGATTTCCCTTTTAACTACAAAAGTTATTACTGTCATATGTACAGACTCGGGCTAATATTGGATATTTGTCCTCTCCAGCTCTCCAACAGCACAAGACAGGCCATCTCTTTGCAAGAGTAACATAGAAATGGAGGGAGAAGAACAACCAGCAGGATATTCTATGCTGGTTTTTGTGCCACCCATTCATTTTCTCTACACTTTAAAAAGGACCATAACGCTTTTCTTAAACTACTTCAGTTTTACTTACCAATTGCCATGAAATTAAGATTCTCGTGGACAGTGAGGCAGGATACAACCGTGGGCTTGTTACCTGGTATTGCTGGAAAAATTCGTGTGCAAAGAGGATTGCCACCATCTCGCTTCTCCAGGTTCCAGACCTTAACCTACAAACGATGATGATACGCTGGCATAAGCAAAACATGAGGTATTAGGAGGCCAAAACTTGGCATCAAATATAACAGTGCTCGCAGGGAGCAAGGTGCTTGAGGTGAGAAGAGTCAAGCAAGACAACTGCAGTAGCCTTAAGAAAGACACACAATACAAAAGCTTTTTCCCCTCTTTGCCATTTAACTTACCAAGGGGTTAATGCCCTCTTCATCCTCACCCACAGAAACCAAGATACTGTGCTGCTTCAGCTGGTACAGATGTGTTACCCTTAGCTTGTAAGCTTGGAAACTACTCAGTTGAAGGGAGCGAGGCAAAAACCAGATCTGACCTTCCATATGTAGACAGCAGTTAAGGCACACAAAGGGGAAAAAATCCCAAACCCCACGACTCTGACTACACTAGAACCAAACCCTGAACACTGGCTTCTCACCGACCTCTGCCAGGGCTGCAGCGAACACGCTCTGCAGAGCGGCCGCGAGCAGCACCTCACCCAGCGGCAACGCTCCGAACGGGCAAAGGACCCGGGCCAGACAGCGCCGAAGACCCGGCCGCGGCCCGGTCCCACCCCCCCCCCGGGCCCGCCGCCGCGCAGGATATCCCCGAACACGAGGCTTCCCCTGCCCGAGTCACAGACTGCGATGCCCGGGGGCAGCGCGAAGGGTTTCCCTGCGGCCCCGTCCGGCGCCGGCGGCTCCTTCACCGTCTCTCTGTCGAAGAACACGAAGCGGCGCCACTGCAGGTAGGCGGCCATGTTGGCGGCGGACCGAACCCACCAGCGCCTCACGTGACAGTCTTCCCCTGCCCCTTCAGGTCACGAGGCAGAGGGCGTCGCATCGCGCATGCGCAGAGGGTTCTCGGCGGAGGCGAGCGGCCCCGGTGCAGCGCAGCGCACCCGAACGAGCCCTGCGCTTACCTTGGGGCTGGCCTCTCACCCCGGCTCTGGCGGAGGGACACCGTAAATGAGGAGGTGAAAAGCGCGCCTCCCACACACCCGCACCAGTCACGGCCCTGCGCCCCGAGTTTGGTTCCGGGCTCGTTTTAATTCCATTCCCTCTCCTCCCCTGACCCGCGGGGAAGAGGCGCTTTCTCAGCCGAGACCAGAAGTCACTGTGGCCAGAAAGCCCCTCCCGTCTCACACCCTCTGACCGGGGGAAGAGAAACTTACCCACGTTGACTCCTCGCCTTGAGGCTTCTCCACCAAGCCCGCTCCAAGCATCAACACGTATCAGCCTTCTGTACAAAGAGGTCACGCTTTTTGCTCAGTGCAGTTAAAACAGAAGATGGGACCAAAACAAGAGTTCCAGGGAGCGTTTATTGAGTTTAATCAACAAAATCAGGATTTTACCATTCCTCATTTCCACACCGGGAACATACGAAGCTCCCCCCGAGGCAGTGCTGCAGTTCACGTACAACCAGAAAGAACATCCTCAACAAAATCTGAGCTCCACTGGAGAGTTTGCCAATTACCAATTGAACAGAAAGCCAATTTTCCCCTCCCTCCCCTGAACATTTTCAAGGACAACTCCATAGTGTTTGCTGGTTAACAGTAAGAATTACCCAACCTCTGGACTAGGGACCGGTGGATTACAATATTCCACCTGAACTGCAAATAATTTCTTTGCTTCAAATAAAAGTTCCAGTTTCTTTCAATAAAGGGAACAGCGACTATTTTCTTCTCCTGACACCCCCTCCCTGTAATCATCGGTTAAAATACAGCAACGCTGTATCTTATTAAGCCCATCCCTCCCCCCCACCCCTCCTTACCCTTCCCAAACTTGTCTACAACAAAATTTAACAATGCTTCCATGTAGGGACACTTTAGCAACACAACAGTGACCCAAGCACAAGCTGTCCGATAACCTGACAAAGCCTCACACTGAAGGTCACACGCACACTCTTTGGTCCAGAAACCTGGTTTACAACACAGATCAAGTGTGATTCACAAAAGATGGACCCAAAGTTCACAGCAACCAGAAAACTCCCCACATGGACTGCTGCTGCCCAACCTTGACTATGGCGGCCACACTGCTGGAGTTCCTGGGAACAAAATGCACTTTGTCCTCAGCAAACAGCAGCTGCTCAGCCCCAGTGGCACTGCAGAGCCGAGCACTGGGAGAACCACCGGAATGGCAGCTTGGGGGACATGGCATGGCCCCTCCATGACCTTCTACAACAGCCATCTGCTCAGGTTTGTCCCCCGTTGATCAAACCCAACAAACCCAGACAGACAAGCGCGTTTTTGAAGAAGCATTTTTAAATCCTTGGAGCAGACACCTCCCCCCCATCCCAAGTAAAAATAAAGAACAAAACATCAGAATGAGATGATTTGATACCAACACATACACAACATGAACTCATGTTGAGCTTCCCTGTTCTTACCCATACCTAAAGTCACAGAGGACAAAGGAAAGATGCTCCCATCTCATTCTGGAAATTGAAACGTGTATTTGAGACCGACCCACCCCCCCGACCCCCCTCCCTTGGGACAAACCCTCTAGCAACTGCAGTGATCTCCTGACACTGCAAACAGAGAGCAGCCACCGCTTCTCCCCAGGAAGCCGCTGACGATGTGCATCATCCCCTGCATGGCTGCCTCACCCAGCGGCAAAGTTCCATTACAGCAGATTGACAGAGCAAGCGCTTGGCCTTCCGAGGGGAAAAGTGCAGAACCCATCAGATTCGCATCCACGTCAGCTTTGTGAGAGGAAATGTCTGACCTGAGGCTCATCGCTGTGGGCTCCACCTAACACAGAGTGGTAAAGGCCGGTACGTGACCGGCAAAAACAGGAGCTTGCCTGCGAGTAAATCTCAGGAGGGCAAGCTTTAGCTCCTCACTTGTGGGCAGGGGGACAAAACAGTAACCAAAAACAAAAACCAAAAAAAAAAAAAACCAACCCCTGATCCCCCCCCCCCCCAAAAAAAAAAAAAAACAAACAAAAAAAAGAAGCTAGGATAATCCTAGTCCTTTGGAGCATCTTTCCATCCGCAAGATTGCATTTGTTAGAGATGGCCTACTTAGCACCACAGATAGGCTGCTTCTTTCATGACCAGAAGCCACCTAAACACGGTGCCCCCGATAGTTTCGCTAAGTGCCAATCCTCACCGAGAGGCATTGAAGTTTAAAGTAATACTTTCAAAAGTTCTGTGCTTCCAGAGGGACCAGCAACGCATGGCACCAGGCTAACCTACCACAAATCCACAGAGCACACACGTCTGACTCGACATCGCTATCCTGTTCTTGTTACATGTGCGTGCCCTGGCAAGATACACAATCTGTATTTACAGTTTTCAAGTCTTCTTTTCACACTAAAACAATCCCTCTTCTGTCTCTCTGAAAAATCGTAAGCTGGCTGCAGTACAAGAGCGAGATTTTACTTTTGGTCAAAGTTACCACCCGCAAACTCCCACCCCCCACCCCCCCAAAAGCACCCCACAATTGTTTACATTTAGTACCTGCCAGTCAGATGTAAGCTGTGAGGCTCACAGAGTGCCTGTGACCAAGCTCTTGAGTTTGTACTCTAGTGCAGCATTTGCTACAATTACGGAGTCACTGCTGACAAAAGGAAGAAAAAAATCCCAAACACAAAGACCTTTGCATCTCGTAAAGCTGCTGTCACGAGGCACCTGGCTTCTGCTTATGATCCTCCAGGACACAGGTGGCCACGTCCGCCTGGAGTGCCAAGCTACTTTCCTCCAAGTTAAAAAAGAAACAAAGGCCAAACAGAACAACGCAGGACCATTACCTCCTGCCTCAGAGGTCAGTGAGCGTGGTACGAGCACAGCATCTGACATGGATAAATGACCAAGCAAAAGGAACTGCATTCATCCAGGTGCCTCCTGACAGCACTGGTGAACAGGCTAAAAGGGAATTTAAAAAGAGTACGGTTTCTGATTTGTCTCACTCCTTTTGCCTGTAGATCAGGCCAAACATCAAGCATGTTGGGAGGGGCACAATTTAAAGCAACACTACTCAACCAGAAAGCACTCGTCAGCAATATACAATGCAAAATGACAGACAGCGATGCGTGCCCAAACAGAGGAGATGGAAAGCAGCTTTCTGCAGCTTCTAACACTAACAGGGGTTTGCCCTTACCTGCTCACAAGTCTGCACAGAGGCCGCTCTGGGCAGAAAATGCACAATGCTGCAGGAAGTCATCAATCCCACAAAGCTCCAGAACTGTCAGTTTATGCATGTGTAAATTGGTTTTCTACAGTTTCTCTTAAACCCAAATCCATGCCTTACGCACATGCTGCACAGCAACGCTGACACTGCTGGATTTCCCTCATGCCACGGTGGAACACAGGTCACGGCCCCCTTCTGAGCTTGTCAAGTTCCAGAAGTTTCCAAGGGGGAAATCAAAGAGCATCTCCCAGCAGGCTGAGCTACAGACCGGGTGGCTTGGGAGCCCCACAGGTGATCTCTTCCATATGAGCGGTACAGGACAGCATTGCTGGCATCAGAGCAAACCCACCCAGACGCGGGACGCTTGTAGAGGCCTGCTCTTCATGGAGGTCAGAGCGCTTCTCCTTGTTTAGTGTTGCAGAAAACTGAGCCCCTCTCATCGATAAGCTGCTCCCATAATCAGTCTAATCCCTTTAACCCCAGCAACCTTCATCACAAAAGAAAAAGTTATATATGAACCCAAACAGAAAAAGAAAAAAAAAAAACATATTTACAAAGTTTGTACAATATACACATCTGATTTTCTATGGGACACACTGCACCAGAGGAAAGAGGGCCATGGCTCTGAAACAAGTCTACTTATCAAGTGCTGTTAACTACTAATGGAGACTCTTATGGAAACCAGTCTGTAGTGTTCCTACTAGAGCACAGGGCTTTTTTTATGGCTCCTGCAAAGGATGACAGGCTACTCTTTCCTTCTGGAGCTATGATGCTGCACCTAATCAGCCCAGATTTTAAGTTGGTTTTGTTTTAAATACAGGTATTTACAGTGTGGGTGAACTGCAGATGCATATCAACTCCTCCAATTAAAGAAAAAAAATAAAATAAAGTTGAAGAAAAAAAAAAAAAGCAGTATTCCCAATACAATTCACCTCCCAGCCCTGGGCTTGAGTACTTGGGGAGGAGGAGAGGGGGAAGACAGGGGAACTTTGACCTGAAACCAAAAACGGCTGTTGATTCCTTGGGCTGTCATAAAGGTGAAATTCTGAATGGTCTCATAGCATAAGGCACTTTGCACGAATAAGTAACAAGCTCTTTAGCTTAAAAACAGATGAGTAACCAGGGAGAAGTTGAAATGCACTCAGTCGACGGTTGAAGAATTTGAAATAGCTGACAAGCTCGTGTTCATCGCGGTTCTTCTCTTTCCAGGGTTTCTCTTCTTCCCTTGCTGCCCCTCCCACCCAAAGACAAAAGAATTTAAAACCAGCAGTTAGTGCAACTAATGTTCAATCAGCACACAGTGCAAACAAGTGGAAAACCAAAAAGACATTCCTCCTTTTATCTTCTTTCTTCCTTGCTGCCAAATTTAAAAATAAAAAAAGGCCGAGCTCTTTAGTCTTCATAGCTCCGAAATGAAAAGACGAAGAAAAACCCACAAAGAGAAGGGTATCCCCAAAGAAACGATGTGTCACAGATCTGGATCAAAGGGCTTCACCTTCTGGCTTGTGTAATCAAAGCCTGCAAAACCAAACCAAAAACACAACCACAACACTCACAGTTAAATCGAATCTGTGCAAACCCAGACCCTAGGTAATGAATCACACCAACTATGTGGCAGCTCTGGAAACAGAAAGGACATTTGAACAGCTCAACCCCAACCACAGCTTTGCAGAAAAAGGTGCCTCTAATGCCCTACCATACCTATGGAGCACAGCTACCTTGCTGGCTTCCTATCCCTCAGGAAAAAGCAAACAGCTCCCTGGCAAGGTCACAACATTCCCCTTAAGGGAGGAAGCCAGACAAGAGCCTTTTCCATGTTCATCACCTAGGTTTGGGAGGTTTTTTTATTTACTTATGAAACTCAGAGAAAGCAAACCAGAGGCTGCAAGTCAGCTTGGTGGGACCAGCTAGGGCTGTCCTGGACTGAGCTCACAGAAGAGATGCAGGGACACTTGCACGCTAGCTAGTGTTAGAACACTTCTACAACCACTTTTTGGTTTTGTCGCCCAAAAGGAATTTCAGCAGCTTTTCGGGTTTCTCTAATTCACCATCTCCAAAAAGAGCACACAGAGCAATTTCCAACCCGAACTATACCGTATCTGGTCTTGCACTGTACAGTGTCTTAGCTAAAACCAGAGCAAACATCACCCTAAAGCTGTTTTGCTTGACTGTGATCCAGCGCAAATTTTCTTCTTGTCAAAGGACTGGCCGCAGCAGTTTTTCCTCGGACAATGCTCAGAAAGGGCACACGTGGGAGTCTCTGACACTGAAGCCTGATTTTCTTCTGAAGCTATGCAGACGACCTCGAGCGGCAGCAAAGCTGAACTACAGCTTTACTACCGATTTGAAAGTTCACTTGCCAAGAGTCCCATGAACCAAAGGATGCAGAAGATGCAGCACCTTTAGCCTGAGCCTGTGCCCTCTAACTGGTGAGGTGCTTCAGCATTTCTGCTGGAGCTCTGTTCCAAAACCTATTCATTTTTCTCTCCTCCCCTTTTTGAGGGCCACCTTCCTCTCTGCCCCTCACATGATTTCTCATTTCAGCTAAGCGATACGGAAGAAATCCTTAGGCTGCCAGTAGCCATCTTGGACTCTCCAAACACCATTTCCCCTGCCCCTTTCTCTCCCATTTTTGGTCTCCTTAGCATATGGCGAGCATTTCAATTCCTACAACTAAAAATCCCTCACCTTCCACTCCCAGCTTCAGCACATCCCCAGAATTCCTTGGACCAAGAGTCTCTTTCAAACCCTTGTTTTCACATTCAGACCCTCTTCAGCACATCGGTTTCCCCCTCCCCCTGCAGTAACATTGACACACCAGCTCTTCTTTCATCCAACACAACTCCTCTAATCAAGAAGGCATTTACATACGCACATGCTTACTGTTTCTCATCTTCTACAGGTTCACTGTGGTATTCTGCCACATACAGGCTCTTGTCAATGTTGCTTGGTATGGGCTTAATTTCAGTTCCCAACTGCTCCTCAATACTTTTCAGGTTGAATCGATCATCATAGGTGATCAAGTTGATGGCCAGGCCAAGATGACCAAAGCGACCTTAACAAAACAACAGACAACTGAACTAAGTAACAGAAGGCCGACTGAAATAGTCTGTCCACTATGCAGTGACTAAAACTCAGCTCTCTGCTGATATAAATCGAGTCCAGACCCCACCACAGGTCTCTACAACTTTCATGTCAGATTTTGGTAAGGAGTTTTGTACTGTTATAAGAATACAAAAACCCAGGAAGTTCAAAATGCTCTGACAAAACCTCACTGATTACAAAAAAAAAAAAGTCCTCCACTACTACATTATGCAGGTCCAGCCCTTCTTCAATAACAGAGCTCCTGAAAAAGCCTGAACTACTAAGTTCAAACACAGAGACCTCCTCTGTTCACTGCCTTCCTTAAGAATGTATTTTGCTAGTGTCCAGATATTGGAAACATACCTCGGAGAAACACTCGCAGAAGAAAACTACCCTTAAGCCACTACAGAAGCTTAAGTTTTCTGTACAGAATTCTCCCAAACTGCAAACAGGAGCACTAGTAAGTTAAAGCAAAACATGCCTTCCCCTCCAACCCCTATAGGCTGGTTCAGGCTGGTCTCAAGACAAAAGCCTTTCATTTAATTATTTGTAAGGATAACCATCTGAGATGATACCCAAAATAAATTTGTCAGAAAAAAAAACAATGCTACCTAAAGTACTTCTCAGGAACAGTCATAAAACCCAGAAGCCAATTCAAGCCTAAGAAACATAACAGTCATCCTGAAAGCTGCACTCAAACGGTGTTTTTGTCTCACCTGATCTGCCAATACGATGGAGATAAGTCTCTGCCAGCTTTGGGAAATCAAAGTTTATCACCACATTCACAGCCTGGATATCAATACCTCGGGTAAACAGATCTGAGAAACAAGCCAGGTCATGAAGAAAGTTAAGTTTCAGTTGGATCAAATGCTGACAGCATTCAGGGTGGTGACATTAACAGTGATTAACAGTGGCTTGCACTGGTTTCCAGATGCAAGTTTCCCCGGTACCAAAGACACTTCACATACAATTCTGTTACAGATTTTTCTTGCTCTTGATCCCGTATAAACATGAAGAAGAATGACCAAAACACCAGATCTGCATATCTATGCCAAAAAAAGTAATTAGCACAAAGCTTGTTTTTTCCACACCAGACTGCTTCTGAGCAGGTCATCTTATACACACATCTCCTCACACCACTGTGCCCTGCCAGTGTCACAACAGACTTGAGATCTGAACTACATCCTGACCCAGACAAGTACAAGGATCAGGAGACACTGCCACAGCACTGCCCAAACAGGCTGGACAATAGAAAACTCTGATCATACACAGGCCATTCAAAACTATAAAACGTGTGAAAATACACAGCAAACATAACTAGTGCAGAAAATACCTACACAGTAAAATAATTCACTTGCAAGTTGTACCTTCAGGGTTTGTCAGAAAAGACAAAGAACTACAGGGCTAAAGGAGCACTGCAGCCTGCTAAGCTCAGGCCTGACCAAGGGAAATTACCAAAACGTCTTGTGTTGTTTTATGACAAATCAAGTGGCCTCTTATACCTGGGCTAATGGTTAATTTGTTTCCTATCACAACCTTTACAAACAGGAAAATACTTAGGAACTCTTACCAGTGCAAACAAGATTGCGGCATAATCCATTTCGGAAATCATGGAACACACGATTGCGGTGCTCCTGGAAATAAATACACATACACATATATAAATCAAGGATAAAACAAACAAAAAACCCACACCGTTACTTCCAGGTATATTCAAGTTACAAACACTGACCTTCAAGCTCATGAATGCCTCCCCCTTGTCACCATGAGTCTAGTTTACATTCAAAATTAAAACAATCACATGTCGCTTCAACCTTCTGACATCTTTTGAGTACGCTTACTGAAATGAAGGCTGTGTGGTCTGCCATGGCTCCCCATGCTGGCAAAAGCAAGGCAGAAACTACCATAACTGTGCCTTCCATCAATGGTCTATGCCTACAGTGGAATAACTAACCTGAGCCAACACCATCTGACCAGCTACGCTCTGAATGCTCTGGGAAGAGGCTTGGGGCTGGGGAGGAGGGTGGTCTAAAACCAAATCAACACCAGATCAACATGTTTCAGTTTTCCAAGAACATGCAAATTCAAGGAGAGCACAAGACTCAGTTCAGCTGTGCAGTAAAGCCTGAGGTGGTGTGGAATAAACCGCTGGAGGCTTCATACTCACCTGCCTCATTTTAGCATGGATATAGAAGCAGGAATAGCCCAGCTGGGAGATCTTTTTGGCTAGCAATTCAACCCGTTGAGAAGAGTTGCAGAAAATGATCGACTGGTTAATCTGAAGCTGAACATATAAGTAACACGCTCAGTAAATGCAGCATTTTACTAACAAAAATAACCCAAAACAAGGGGGGTTGTAACTAGATGATCTTCAAGGTCCCTTCCAACCCAAACCATTCTGTGATTCTATGGTAAGATGTAAGTTTAAATCCCTCCCAGAAAGAAAGCAAAGCAGGCATGCTTCTGGTAATCCACACAGTCTCTATTTTGTACAAAGGTGCAGGACAAGAAGCTCTTGGTTTTAGCTTCAGTGAAATAGCACATTTTGACAAGGAAAATGTGTTGTTCAGCAGTCTTTTTAAGACCGTCACTCTCAGTTTTATTTGTGTTTCTGAAAGGCAAAATGCCTGGGTACATTTTCGACCCAGCCCTACCACTCACCCTGGAGAATAGCGTATTTAGGCAGTGTACTTTCTGACGTTCAGTTACATAGGCATAGTACTGGGTAACTCCCTTCAAGGTCAGCTCCTCCATCAGATTAATCTCATAGGGTTTCTGTAAATGGGAATTCTGAAAAAGAAAGATAAGAATAAAGTGGGCAGATCTGCATGCAAAACAATGGAAGTACTTCCTACCCTCTGGCACATTTAACTTCCTCCATGGCAAGAATGCACAACCTCACCACTCGCTCTTCATACATGTGAAACAGGGCAGGTAAGATTTCCTCAAGGAGTAGTTGTAAATGTACTTGCACTGATGCAACCAAGTGGGCTTGAACAGAGCACCCTCCAGAAGCAAATCAGTGCCCATGGAACTAACTGACATACCAAGTGGAAAACAACACCTCTTAGGCAAGAGCTGTGCGCACCTCACTCTCCCGTTAATGCTACTGCAGGCCAAAAATTATTTTCAAGCTTCTGTCCTAGATTTATGCTAATTTAGATTAAAGCAGTGGAATTTGCATGCATTAAAAAAAAAAACCCAAACAAGCAAGCACTGACAGCTATGCACCACTCATTCACACACTTCACATGCAGCGTCATCATCATCGTGCATATATGGCAGGATTTTCACTCACCATGAACTTCTGTACACTCAAAGGGAAAGTGGCTGAGTAGAGCAAAATCTGTCTGTTTTTAGGTAGCGTGAGAATAATGTCTTCCATTATTTGAACAAAATCTTGAGACAGCAACTTATCTGCCTGTAACAACAGAAATAATAAAGAGTTAAGTTAAATCAACGGTGCGAGAATCCAGTCTTCTGGTAGTACCATACAGGGGAAAAAACAGAACAAACCAAAACACCTGGAGCCTTATGGTGGGCTCGTCCCTTTTGGAACACACACCGCTCCAAAAGACGTTTGCCTTAGCTGCTGGAGACGGGATTCATCAGTAAAAGAAGTCTACCCTCTCCTGGTTTTCAGCACTTGGCTTTAAATGCAATCAAATTCAGGAGAACTGAATGGCACCTCAACTGAAAAGTTATCTGGGTTCCTATCAGTCATCCAAGAGTTTTCACACAACTGTTTTCTCCATCACTCACTCAGAAGCCCATACACTACCAGATGTTCATGTATCAGTTTTCTACATGAGCACAGCTCACTCATTATAAACTGAAACCAAATGAAATGTGTTCCTTCCTTTCAGAATAGACCATTAATCTATTCTTCAGGGACAGCAAAGACAACAGGAAAGGCACATATTCCTGGGCTGTTTTAAAAGATTAATGTGAAGGAAAGTTCTGCCAAATGACCTTCTCAAAAATACTGAGAAATGGATGATCTATAACCTTACAGTGTCTCTAAGCAAAGTTTGATTTGTTGCTGTGCATAATGAGGAGACTCACTGAGACACATCATTGCTTTAACTCAGCATTAAAATCCCAAAATGTTTAACATGAGCAACTTGCCTCATCCAATACTATCATCTGGACATGCTCAACTTTTGCTACTCCTTTCTTGATGAGATCGAGAATTCTCCCAGGGGTAGCTATCACCACATGCACTGTAAGGTTAGAAGAGCAAAAAAAAAAAAAACAAACAAACAAAAAAAAAACGGTTAAGGCGACTGAAACAACATTTCTGGCATTCATGGCCATGTTTCATATGAACAGTTTGAGAGAATGATGGCATACAAACAGTGAATGAGAGGTAGTCTGTTCTGTAACAGGCAAACAATAACAACAAGCAGAAATTCCACTGCCACACTGTAAAAGCCATGAACAAACAGCAACTGAAGTGTAGTAAAAGTGCTCCAACCTGTATCATCAAGCCTCATTATGTCATCTCGCAGATTGGTTCCTCCCGTTGTTGCCATCACTTTGGCACCTCCCATGTGTTTGCTGACTTGGATACAGATTTGACTGACCTGCAGGGCTAGTTCACGGGTGGGAACAATCACCATTGCTGAAAGTTAAAAGCATCAGCGTGAGCTACTAGAAGACACTGTACCCAAAATGCTAATCCTCAGAGGAAGCGGAGACTTTACACAAGATAGACTGCAGTGCTTTAGGGAGGCCTGCTCTGGGTACCCTGAAGCAGACCTAGAAACTGCTCTCAACAAGGCAAATTCTGTGCAAGGGTTCTCCATCTCTCAATACTCCCTTCACATAAGTCCCCTGGCCAGCGCACTGGCTTCTCACTCCAAATCCAATCCCCAGAGCAAGACTGTAAAGTCCAGAAGATGTCTTCCACTTCAAGCTTTTGAAAGCAACTGTGGGACTTTTAAAATTCCACCTCCCCTGCTCCCCTTTAACTGTCTTTGGAAGTACAAGCAGATAATCTGCGCTCCTCGGTTTTGTTAACTTGTTTTAGGCTCAAGTCTGCTACGTAGTGACTGACACCACTACCTGGCTGCAGCTAAGTGAGATCCATCTCAACTGACCTTGTATATTGTCCTTCTTTAAGTCTAGCCGTTCAAGTAAAGGAATGAGGTAGGCTCCACTCTTGCCTGTTCCATTTTTTGCTCTAGCCAAGATATCCCTACCCGATAAAGCAATGGGGATGCTCTCCTCCTGAAAAGCAATGGGAGATAAATAGTGGGTAAGCAATGGTAAGACACAGTCACCAAACAGGCTGGCCAGATTTAACTGCACTCTCTAACAGTACTGCGTGAAATCTACTTCTCTAAAGCAAAAGACAGTCGCATCTCTAAGTCACCCAGTGCATGACTTAGTGGCCCTTGGGGGAGGGCAGGAATCTCTTAAATGTCCAACTAAATCACTAAGTTCTACTGTTAACAACCCCAGTTCTCTCAAATCACAACAGGAGTATCCAACACTTAAGTGAGACTAAGAATCTCAAGACATTTATAAAACTAAATGCTGCTTGTAAGTAGTCTTAAAACTTGTACTAGTCTCCTAACCTGAATAGGAGATGGTTTTTCCCAGCCCATTTCAAAAATTCCCATCAGCAACTCCCGTTTCAAACAGTAATCTTCAAACTCATTTCCTTTTGTGGAGGTCACGTCCTGGAAAAATCAAAAAAGCACTTCCGTAAGATTACGTCACACAGACTGGTCTGACTCAAGGAGAGACTGTGTATGCAAGAAGACCACAAAGCTCATTCCATTACTATACAGGAGCTGCCACTAATATGTGCAATATCATGCAGTGGAGAAGGAAACATTAACCTTCTTGTAACCAAATACAGTGCTGTGAACTGTCACCTTTTAGTCCGCCTTGCAAGAGACACTGACAACTGTCAGTTATGCTGTAACACCAATACAATAAGAAACCCTCAGCAAACTGTTTTCAAGCCTTCTGAGAGAAGTGTCTCTCCTAAGCAGCTGTAGAAGTTAATTTCTCATTGCAAACAGCAGGTGCTGAACTGCATTTCAATCTTTGCTTAAGACAAATATTTTGCCACCACAGCTTCTCCCAGATCTTTTATTTAGTATTTATGTAATTCAACCATCCTCACCGAAGTTTTGATTCTCAAATCCTTTGGAGGGAGTTTTAAAGTCTTCTTCCAGTCATCACCAGGTCTAGAGCAAAAATAAAATTAAACCAAGTTAAAAAGGAATCTGGTTTAATGATTTTATTTTGAAGCTTTACTTCCATAGAGGCAGCAATAAACGTGTCGTATTTTCACCTCCTAAAAACCGAAAGCGCCTACACACAGGAGCTCAAGCCTTCTCTGAGCTAAGCAGGATGCAACAGGCAGGAAACTGTAAACAGAGAAAATCAGCAGTCTGCCAAACGCCCAAAGAATTTGTGAAATCTCAATCCAGCCATGATTCAAGTCCCATTTTTAGGGCACTGAATCAATTCAGTCGAACACACATTTAAAACTGAGCACTGACTTAGTCATATGACAGAAACTGACTATAATAAATCCACATGAGAATATTTCATCATGTAAAAGAGAAAAAAGTTCTCTTGGGCACATCCAATCTTAACCTGTGAGTAATGAAAGAAGATGAAAAACCACCTTGGGGGAGAAAATTAAGTAAGCACACGCTCCACTTGTTGACCAACTGCTGGCAGCTTTTGCCCTCAATGAGATTTAGACACCCATCCTCTCTCGAAAGCCACTGTACAGAGAGGAGCAATCCCTTTTCTTCCCCAATCCCAGGAAGTCATGAGGGACTTCGGATGAGTTGAAGTAATCAATTTCATTAGAGGAACCCATTACAAATAAAAAACAAAAAAAACAACAAAGGACAACAGGAAAACAAAACCAAACCAAACCGGGAAGGAGTCAGGCAAGCTACTGTCAGACTCCAAGTACTCCATTACGCTCTCTCTGACGACAGCTGGCATTTCCTTCACAAATCATCAAGTAACAAATTAAAAGTGAATGTTGTTCAGAGGAAACAAAAAAAGAAGACGTTACCGTACCATCCAAGTCTTTTACATCTCTCAGGATTTCCAACCAGCACCCTCAGTTTATTAGCACACTTCCAAAACCAGTTTGATGGCAGTAGGGTATCACAGTGGTACCATATTATCTCAGCTCAGGCTCTGATGAATTAAAGCCAGAGCGTTGCACCGAGGAGAGCAAGCTCTACTATTTAAAATCAATGAAAAAAGATTACGTGCTTTAAGGAATTTCTCACTGCAAGAAAGAACTGCAACAAATGACAGCAAACACAACTGCACTGAGACTAGGGGGCATTTCCTTCTCGGTCTTCAGTTCAGTTCTTTCCCACTCCCCAATTCCCCTCTCATACCAGTCTCAATGAGCAAATAACACAGGATGCTACTGCTCAGTGGGCTATGTCTGACAAGCAGCTACACGTTTTGAAAGCAAAGCGTCACGTGCAATTTTCACAGTGAAGCCACAGCAGAGAAATACAGCTTCCTTTTCATAGTGCACACCATAGGACACTTCCAACCAACAAGGTTATAAAACAGTAGTAGCAAACTTTTTAACACAAGAACACTTCCCATACATGACTCTGAAACATGGCAGCCAACGGAAACACTTACTTAATAGTGGTGGTCATAATCTGCGCTTGCTGTTGAGTGCCATTATTGATTGTGTTGGCGTTTTTCAGCTGGTTCATCTGTTGCTGAGTTTGTGTGCCTCCACCTCCTGGGCCCCCACTGGGTTTTACAGGGCCTCTCAACTGCCCATTCTGACTGGATAGACCCATTATAACAGGGTTCTCTGTTCTGGCCGTGCTCATGTTTTTAAAGATGTCTTTTTAGACTTCAAAACTTTGAAAGTCAGTACAGAAACTGTAATAACAGTTTATTAGACTCTCCAAAACGAAGAGATAAATAAGTCTTGCTCAATATATGAGTCCTTTATTGCAATGCAGGCAAGCACCTGTAAGTCACTCAAAAGTAAAGTAGTAACTTGCTCTGATGCACTGTGGATCAACTTTTTTAAAAAAAAAAAAAAAGCCCTCTAACAAAGTTGAGTTATATCAGAATTCACTTGGTTCAATCTGAAAGAGAAGCAGATGGTGACAATTAGTATCTGGGGGTTTAGCTACAGAAAGCACATCAGTTTACCTTTGTACTTTAAGAGTCACTTCTTCCCAGGCAGTAGCAGCAGCATCTGCTTTTCCATTTTCTCAGAAATAATTTCCAAGACACTTGTCAAAACTCTTTTTCCCCTTTCTGTAAAGCTGCAGCCACCACCTTCAGTCACCAAAGATGATGCTCTCAACAGCTGTACTTTCAGCAGCCTTTCAGTGAATAGCTGCTTGAGAAATACTACCTGCACACACCACCACCACCCCCCCCCCCCCGCCTCGACATAAGCATGAATCACATCAAGTGCTTTGCTGGTTCTTGAAATTCCCCCATTTCTGGGACACAGCAAAGCAGTCCTAAAGCTAAGCAACGTTATGCACAAGTGTGTGACAGGAAACAAGACCTCAACATCAAGTGAATATTCCAGTTAGAACTGATGAAAGCCTTAAGTAACTCTATTCACTCTTTTTGCTTCAAAAGAGAAATACAAATTATGCTTTTTTTAATTACAATAAAAACAAACAAGCACACAGATGAAAAAACACCCCACCAAAAGAGCTTCCTCTCCTCCAACCCAGAAAGTTAGTTCACCAGCTTTTAAACTGGGTACTGATTTAACACCATTCGAATAGTGAAACTAACCACCTCATCAAGCTGAGCTGAGAGTAGCTTCCTGTTTTGTTAAGTCTAAGTGACCGGGCCTGAACTGAAGCAGTGAGCAACATACATTTACACCAGATACCTAGCTTCCTGCTTCTGTCCCCTGCATGACGTTACGTTACAGCTGGCAGTAACCACTCATACTGCTCTCAAAGATAACATTTGAACACAACTTTATATCGCCTGGGTATTCAGGAGAAAGGTTAGCAAAAACGTAGAGACAGCAGAAAGTCTGCACCTTCGACAGGATAGACCAGAGCTGAAAATACTCCTCACAACAATACAAAGCAGCCACGACATTGCTAGTCCAAAACCTTTAAAAGCAGAAGAAATTTGGCTTGCCTGTACAATCCCTCCTCACTACACGTCTGTATCTTGGGAAAACGCGAAGAAAAACCAGCAGACTACTGCTCCCTAAGTTCAGCGTTCACAAAAGCCACGCAGTTCCTCAGTGAATAAAACGCATGTTCAAGAGCATTTCAAAAGGGTGAAAAAGAATCTAGACTCTTTCCAGACGTCCCAGCTGTTTCTGAGCACATCAATTCCAGCTTCACGCAAAACTACGGTGTGCAGAACTAGGATTTTAGCCGGCTATTTTCCTGGCCGGAACCACTGTTTCGAGGCGTCTTTACGTTAAGTTTGTAAAAACAGGTCGAGTCACAAAAGCCACCGGAGCCGCCTAAAAGACCCGAATACCAAAGCCAAGGAGTTCTCCGATACTGTAGGAGACGTACCCCCTCAGTCCCTGAAGCTCCCTCGCTCCTAACTACCCTTTAAAACGACACTGATTCAAGAAGAACGCACGGGCTCATGGAACGCCGCCAATCTTCCCGTTCCGGGACCAGAAGCGCCACCATTTCGCAAACCGACAGTCCGACGGCAAAAAGTCTCCACGCACACACAAACACACCGCCCCCCCGCCCCGACTCTCCTCTCCAGGCTCAGACCACGCAGGCAGGCGGGCGGGCAGGTAGCCGCCGCTCGCTCTTTCCCTTCCTCTGCCCGCAGCAGACCCCAGGCCTCGGCAGGACCAGGCCGGGCCGGCCCCAGCACAAAGCGGCCGCGCAGCAAACCCGGCCGCAGGAGCCCCCGCGGTGTCCATTGTTTCCGGCAGCCCAGGCCGCACTGCGGCGCCGCACCCGCCGCGGCAGAGCGGCCCCCGTACCCTGCGGCGGGGCCGACGCCGCTCGAGAAACGCAGCTGCGCCACACCGGCACCTCCACCCGCAAACAATGGAGCTGCCCCCACCCGCCGCCCCGGCCGGCAGCGAGCGCCGCCGCGGCCCCGCCCTGCGCCCCGGCCCCCCGCCCAGGCCGCTCCCGCCGCGGCCCATCCTGGCCGGCCGCCCGCGACCCGCTCGTAGCCCCTGGGCGCCGCCAGGCCCCACACAGGCCCCACCGCTCGACGGCAGGCCGCGGGGCTCGGCCGGGCGGCAGCGCTTCCCCCCAGCCCGCTCCCGCTGCCCCGCGCCCTCCCCGGCGCCCCGGCCCGTTCTCACCGCCACCAGCCGCGCTCCCCTCTCGCCCAGGTATAAAATCCTCTCGCTCCCCCTTGGTGCCTTGTTATGGCGACTCGACGCTCCAAGATGGCGGCTTCCTCCTTCCTCCCGTGCGCCCACCCCCTCCCGGCAGGGCAGGCTGGCCCCGCCCCAGCCCCGCACGCACGGACGCACGGACGCACGGACGCACGCACGCACGCACGCACGGCGCGCGTCCCCCGGCTACGTGAGCGCGCCCGCCGCGCCCCCTCTCGGGGCCCGTATCGTGTGGTACCGGAGATCCCCGCCGGGACCGAGCCGTACCGGGGAACCCGAGTGCAGCGCAGGAGGAGCATGGAGGAGCGCTCCCCCCCCTCCCCCGCTGGGATCAGAGATAACGGAAACATTCCTGTTTCCGAAGAGCGGCCCGGACAGGTGCCGTGCCTCTGGTGCCAGCCGTGTCTCGGTGACTACGTACACATGACATGAAAACGCGGACTGGGCCACATGCAGATCGTGGCAGCTTAGAAATCGCCACTTCCTCTGTAGGGAGCCGTTATTTAACCGAGGACTTGACAAACTGAGGCACGGCAGGAACGGGATCTTATTAAACGCCAAATGAAAATGCTGATAACCCCCCACCTGTTCCACGCAAACTTGTGTTAAAGCGTTTTTTTCCTGAAACAGGCATAAAAGGACCCCAAAACCTCCCTCTTTCCCCTCGCATGGACAGTTCTTTCCCAGGTTCCTCACATCTACAGCCAGCTTCAAGTTGTTCACCCCTGCCTTCGACAGCAAAACGCAGTCCTGGGACCATGAGAGGTCTGCAGGACACAGTGGCTGCGACGTGCCACGCTGCTCCCTCCTCTGATGGCCGCAGCAGTTGTGGCCGTAAGGCCTGGTTGACCAGCCTAGCGTAATAATTCCACCTATTCCGGCCCAGTTCAGATGGGAAATAAGATCAGCACAGCCCTGGTCTTTACCTCCTTCTTTCCTTCTCTGCTGCAGGGACACTGCCATGTCCTGAGCTGCTGTCCCCTGATGCAAAGGGATTGTCCCTGATGTGCAGCTCCCTTGTCAGCATCTCTCCCACCCAATGCATCCGTCCTCTTTCTTTTTAAAGAAGACCTATAGACATTCTGGGTTTTCCCTAGTACGGACCAAAGGAACGTAGATTCTTCACACTGTGCTTTAAAACTCAGCTTACAGCACTAGAAAAAAGATGCTAAAGCCAGATGCTAATCTTTACATCAATCAGGTCACTCTATGCCAGGAGCTCATTTGCCTTGCAAATACTCTATTGTTGCATGCCAGGTCCCTCCCTACAGGCTTAAATGATTAACTCCACCCAAAAAAAAAAGAACTTTTGCTGAAACTGCTGGAGGAGAGACGGATTCTGCCCCTGAAACCATGGGGCCTGTCAGCTACTCATCAGAGACCTATGACTTGGTGAGTCAGGCCTGGCTTTGCTTCATAACAGGGAGAGCAGGTAGAGCTGGGGTGGGCTGAAAGGCCTGTTTTCTGTCTGTGCGTCTTCCACCCCTCCTGTTGGCAGAGGGGGAACCATCTCTTAGGCCTCACAATCTCCCCTTGCATCCCTTAAGACCTGATCGATGAAGGCACTGCGAGCGATCATGCTGCTCTGGTGGACAGCTATGCCCAAGCAAATCCAGTGCGAGCTCTCTGCCCATGAAAACCCTGGATAGGTCCACACATGCTCCTACCGCTGCCTTCTTCACAAACAGGCTTATGTAGGCTCTGCTGAAAGGGGAATAGGCAGTATTTTCAAAAGAGGGGACTTTTAAAGAGGGGAAGATAAATTGCAAGTACTTCTTCTAATAGGGAGCGATGATACTGTGTATTCTGCCCTGTAGTTCTCTCCCGTGTCTGCAAGACAGCAGCTGCGCCTTTTAGATTATGTTGTGCTATCCAAGGGGAAGTCCACAGCCGTGCTATCACTAGCCTGGTTTTCAAATGCAGCAGCTCAGAGTTTATTTTGTAATAGAGTGGCTCTGCAGCAGACCTCAGGTTTCATTTAGTTTCTCTGAAGAAACAACAGTCAGGTGCCGCAGCAAGAACAGTTTTGTACCTTTTCTCAGACTTGCCATGCTCAGGAGTCTGTGACATGCGTTTCCCTGGAGCTTCCATAAGGCACTGTGGTGTTCCCAGAGGCTTTGCTCTTATCTGTGCATTTCCCTAGTTCAGTGCCCGGAGAGAAGATGAGCAAGAAGCTCTGTCAGCAACTTGTGCTGATGTGGGCAATTCCAGTTTTAAGGCTCTCAGAGTGCAGTGTGATTCTCCTGGCCATGGCATGGGCTGGAAGGGAATGACTCACATGGAAAATCCCTAATAGTGCACAAGCTGTTTCTTTTCTGCAGCCAAATGTTTTGATTGCTGGCAGTTGTGGGGAACTGAGAAAAGCAGCTGACACGCGGAGACTGAAATAACTCTGAGATGTGGGTTAGAGGGGAAAAGGGATCCCTGAACAAAGAGCATGCAGGAATAGGCTTCCCTGGCATGCACTTGACTGCTCAGCTACAAAGACACCACTTTATCACCCACCAAAAGTCTGGCTGCAGTTGTGTTGCAGGGGACTTGCATGAATGTTTCCCTACACACGCACGCTCCTAGAGATGGGAGACACAGGCAGAGTCCCTAGAACCTTGGCCTGGCACATTCGGTGCATCTCCTGCAGCCCTGGGTCCCTGCCCTTCCTGTCTCAGCCCAGACTCTGACTTTTCATCCTCTTTTCTTTGTCTTCAACTCATCTCTGTCCGCTCCCACCCACAGTCACTCATGTGCATCGCTGCTCAGAGATGCACGAGAGCATGCCTCAGGCGCAGCTCAGCACACGCTTCCCCTGCCCACAGCGAGTGGCTTACGGTAAGAACCCTACCTGCCTACTGCAGCAAGCTGATGGTGTCTTGATAGTGGCACTTGGTCTCCACTCCAGCTCCACAGGCAAAGCGATACTGGAAACTCTTCAACAGCCAAAGCCTTTAAACACTGTGCAGGCTGCCCACCCGCTGTCACTGAGGCCACTATGGCCACCAAAGCCAGCCATTTCCCATCATTTTACTGCTCTTTAAAGCTGGAACCCTCCAACCTCTCTCCAGTGAAGTTTCCCATTCCAACACATGTTCCTTTCGGGTGTTCAGCGTGGTCACCCATGTGTCCTGAGCAGCCTGGTTTGCTCGCTGGACCACACTGCAAAGGTTCTTGGGTTGCTTTTTGGTATTTTGGGGGCCAGATTCAAGGATCTGGACCTGGCCAACAAATCACATGTTTCTGAGTTGTTGCTAACTCCTGGCATGGGGTCTGGGTACAGACGAGGCAGCGAATGTTTGTTTGGGAGGGATTTCTATAGGCTTTTGTCTTTAGCAGCAATCTCCAGTCTCCAAAATCATACCCTAAACCAGAAAACTTATTGTTCTTAGGGAATAAAAATGCTTCTCACCAAAGGCTTGCAGCTCACCGCTACAATCCGCAGTCACGAGTGTTTGAGGTTTGGAGCAGTGTAACGTCTCTACCCAGGGCAGTTCCATGCAGAGGCACCCAGCGTGTTGTCCATGAAGGTTGCCCAAGAAAGAAAACATGTAAATCCCTTTTCTGTAGCCAGGCACAGTGCGGGACCCAAGGCTGGTCATGGCCATTTGGGTAAGGGGTACACGGGGGAGCAAAGCCCCCAGTCAGCTCTACAGCTGTTTAAAGCAGGGCTGGGTTTAGAGCTGGGAACTCGGCGAGGGAAGGAGCAGCAGGTGCAAACAGTCACAGCTGGCAGTGAAAGGTATGAAAGCAGCAAGCAGAGGCTTCCGCTGTGGTTGACACTGGAGTCTCCACACTGGTCTCTAGAGAGCGTGGGGGTGAGCACATGGTGACTGCTGCCATACTCTCCCCAGTTATCACTGGTTTCTCAGCTTGACACGAGCCTCCTGTGCTGCTCATCTGTGCTTGAGCCTTTTGCTCTTGTGAACATGCAGCTTCTGCTTGAGGCGCCCGAGGGCAGGCAGAGCACAGCCACCATCACTGGGTTGTCCTGCGTGTGGCTCCAGCTTCCCAGCATCTGGGACTTGCCCACAGCCCCAGCCTGAGGACAGCTCACTCACCTAGTGAGGAGCTGCCGCAGGTCAGGCATGAATCACATCTGCAGTGGCTCCATCACACTTTCCTCACTGGTGTCAGCCTCAGGGCCCAGTGGTGTTTTCAGGTTCCCTTTCCTGCCCTGACTACAATTAATTCAGAACCACAGGGTTCACTGGTAGAACCGATTTCTCTCTCCAGCATCCATCCCCATAGCTATGGCACTGGTGTGCCTCAGAGGCATTCAAACACATGCCCCACACCTTTCTCTGAGTGTGTGGGAAGTCATCTGAGCACCGCTGCTGCTCTCCCCACCTTGCCTTGCCCCAGGCAGCTCTGAGGTCTCTGAGGAATAGAAGCAGAATGGGATGGGATCTGTGCACGTAACTGCGGTACAGATGTGCTGTGTGGTGAATCCCACCACCTTTCTACCTGGCTGCAGGCAGGATGGGGGGGTGGACACAACACAGTCAGGCTCACAAATGGGTAGGGGAGGGCTCTGTGCTGTGTAAGAAAGTAAAAGCCAGCAACCAGCAGGTAACGTGGTTGGTTACATGGTGAGAACCAGAAGATGAAACTGGTCATCTGTCTGGACAGCAGAACATGCCCAAATGCACCAGGTAAAGATTACAGGCTGAGCAGTGCTCACTGTTAAGAGGCTGGGACAACCCTCTTCATGAGCTGCTGCACCTCCTGGCACCAGAGGGGCTTCCCACATCACCGCACTGCAGACAGGCAGCATGTCCTCCTGAGGCAGGCAGGCTGTGGGAATCCTCTGCTCCAGCCTGCTGGGTGCAGCAGAGGGACCGGGCTCTCGTGTGCAGAAACGCCCCTCCGTTAACCAGAGCCTCTCTGTTCCCCAGAGCCAGGTGGAGCTGAGCGGTTACTATGAAGCTGAGAACACCACCCCTTCTTTGGAGGGCTACTTCTGCTTCAACCCAGCCTCATCTGTGGTCGGCAACCAGAGAGACCCCTTCAGAAAGGTCTTCATGCCCCTCATCTACTTACTGATGTTTGTGCTGGGGACAGTGGGCAATGCCCTGGTCCTGGTCATTTTAGAGAGGTTCAAACGGTCTCGCACTACCAC